CTTCTTCATCCATTAAACTTTCATTTGAAAAATCATCATCTAGAGGTTGGAACCGGATTCGACATTCGGATTTAAACTCAGATATATCCAGTTTCGGATACAAAATTGGCCCAAAGCCGAGTATATGATATGTTTAAAAAAATTTATTTGATCTGCCTCAGTTTTTGAAATAGATATTCAGTTTTAAATCCGGATCCGATTTTTAAAATTAAGTAATATTATTAAAATTTTTGATTGCTTTTTTATATATTGTCTAATTATAAAATATATTCTATAGATGGAATTTTAGAGTCATGCTAAAGATCCTAAAAGTGATGAAGAAACAATTTTCAATTTATACTCAAATGGGTTTTTAAATACCAAGTTAAATTCAACAATAAGAAATAAAGAATTTAAAAATTATAAAGATACCACCAATGTTTTTTGGTAAAAGTCTTAATATTAATCCTAATGGTTTAAACAGAAAAAGTAGGATTCTATCAATAATCGCAAAAAATTTTACTTACGAAGAATTGATGGAAAATTTGCAGGTATGATATAAATATCAAAATAATATTTACTGTATATAAATGATAAATATATAATTTGATAAGAATTTTACTAGATTTCACCAAAACAATTCATACTGCTCATGAATATTACCGTAAAAATAGTCCAGGATGCAAAACATTTAACAAACCTATTATTATTCGTAAAAAAATAAATAAAATTAAAGAAAGGGAATTTGAATTATTTTTTACTGATAAAGCAAATGTAAATATGAGTTCATGTCATATTAATAAAAAAACACAATTACTGGCTGCCAGGAAATGAAGCGTAAAATAACGGCATATCTTTATAACCACCAACGGCAATAGTGCTTACGTTAAATTTTTCTGCCATTCGATGAGTTATCAACGAACATGACGAACCACAATGCCCATTTGTTAATATAACAACATCCTTACTCTTCCACTTGTATTCATTAATGTGTCCTGCTAGCAATTTGGTAAATAGAGTAAATCCTTGTGAATTTTTATCCACAAATTTTGATGTAAATGATGTAGGAGTTCCCCCTCTTATGTATGTATTATTACCAATAAATTCTTCTACAGTGGAAAATGTTTTCCCTGTATTTGGATCTTTGTAACCGACAACGTCAAGGAATGAGGTTGAGTAGATAT